GAGGCTTATGGAGTGATGAACATATGGAGTCGCTACAAGGAAACCAAATTGCCCAGTGGTACAAATAAACTAGCTTGTGACCGCTGGACTGTCAACAAAAACTGCCATTGCATTTGGGTGGAGGGAGTCTGGCATTTAAAATGACGGCGGACCTTGTCTCAACAAACGAAGTGGCGAGTGATGGAGGAAGACACTCAACAACGACCTCCAGACGTTCGTGCACTGCTCAGCTCACCGGATACACAAAACAGAAAAGACTGAGCACCGGGAAGAGCATACAGTCAGTCCTTGTCATGGTTTCTCTGCGTTCTTGGGGTCTACATCGAGTGGAGGCATGAGTTGATGTGTCTGCCTTGAAAACTTGCCACCTGGGGCCCAGCACCTCCTCTTCAAGGTGCTATGCCAAGGAACGATGTCCCCATGTGGACCTAACCAGACCTGTTCATTCACAGCATGCATCCCACCTCCCCTGAACTGGAAGACCCTGAGTCCTTGCTTTCCCTGCCCTGCTCCCACGAATGATCAAGAAACGGAATCTACTCGATCCGTCCAGACTATGGTTAGCTCACTATAGACCAGGTGGGAGTAACAGGGTTGAAAGTGAAAGGTGAAAATATTCTAAAAGTAAAATGTCCTGTTCCCTACCCTGACAGAGAAGAAAGGAGGCGGGTACAGAGGGATTCCCCAGAAGAGCCATACACAAGAGCCAGCAGGTCACCAGAAGGAGAAGTGTGTCTGTTCAGGGACTTCCCAAGGGGGAACCAGATGGGGGGCCTCTGGTCCTCTGGGCATGGACTGTCCCACCTGCCTGCTGCTCTTCTTTGGCCCTGACCTCTGGCTGTATCCTCCAACCCACTCTCTCTGCATCGTTTCACAGTCCCACCTAGACCTGCAGAGAAAAACCTAGCGCCTACCCCTCTCCTCCCCTTCACTGCTTGCTCTGGGTTCCAAGCACACCAGACTGTCACTAATAGGTCGCCTTCGCCTGGCTCCCACCCTTCACACCTGGTCTTTCAGTCATTGGAACTTTCTCTGCTCCCTAGTTGACTGGCAGCCTCCTACCGGGTCTTCCAAGCTGAGTTCAAATGCCATGGCTTGTCTTCTTTGATCTCTCCAAAGAGGGTGAGTCACTTCTTCCTCTGGGTTCTGACCCTCCACCACAGCCCATAGCCCCGGATGTTTCCATTCACCTTCTAAGCAACAGCCCAGCAGGAACCACATGGGCTTGGTTCCTGCGGAGCCCCCGGTGGCTAAACCCGGCCTCACAGAAAGCAGGTGCACACACAGGCTGCATAAATGACTAAATGACAGGGATCCCTTTCTTTGGTTCGGAATCATGCAGCCTATGCACTCCAGTGTGAAAATGACTCTGGTTCCTGTTTCTTAAATTCAGTGAGCTGCCACTGAAGGTCACTGCATTTCTGTAGTATAGGAACATCAGTGCCCCCAATATCCCGTCTCGGGACCTTTGCACATGCAATTGCTCGGCTCAAACTCCCTCCCTCAGCTTCTTTGCAGTCTCATCCTCAGATTTCAACTTCAGTGTCACCCTCCAGAGCAACTGCCTGCTTCATCTGAAGTGGGTCCGCTCTGGTCCTCTTCATAGATGTCAGAATATCAGGATAGTGATTGTCTCTGTCTTGTCTTTATGACCCATCACTGTCTGGGCACATCAGGTCCCACAGGTTGATAAATCACCAGATTTCTTCACCACAACATCCCCGGCATTGATAATGAGTGAACGGATGAATGAGGTTCGTGTGACAGAACAGCCACTGAGCAGTCCCTGGAGATGCAGTTTTCCCATCAGCTTTGTCTCTATCCCCAGGAGGCACCCTCCCCGACCCCGGGCAGCCGTCCTGGCTCCCAGAGCCTGATAGAGAAGACTGTCCTCAGATTAGTGACATGACCACCGGGGACCACAGGTTCTCAGCTCAGTAGAGTTTGCAAGTGGATGAGTGAGACCAGCTGGCCGGGACCAGAAGAGAAGTCTAACTCTCACAGGCCACCTTTTGTCTGAGCTCAGCTCTGCACATCGGTAGACCAGGCTCAGCTGCTGGGCTTCAGCAAGAGGCAAGGAAGTAGATGCAGGCACGCTGCAGCTGTGTGCTTCTTGGTGCCTGTTTTTCCCAGTGTGGCGGGCTGGGTTACAGCTGAGGGCATTGGGCCCATGGCTTAGTGGGCGGCAGCTGAACATGAGGAAGGACCTGCTCCAGTGGCTGTGTATACAGTCTCCGTGGGCCAGGACCTCCTCCGGCCTGGACAACTTGTGCAAACCCAGGCATTCTTGTAGCCTTGCTCAGGTGTGCACCCTTTCTCTGCAGCTCACAGACAAGGGCTGGTTTGAAGCATGGCTGCTTGAAGCTCCAGCAGAGAACTGGGCCAAGACAGCACCTGCCCATTCCGTTCTCAGCAGGCCACCCTGGCCTGACTGAGGCAGCCTGACTGAGGCAGCCTGACTGAGGCAGCCTGACTGAGGCAGCCCGACTGAGGCATGAGCTTTTAATCAGAACTGGAGAGAATCGGGGGCTCCAGTCTTGGTCCTCACACCACACTTAGCAGATCAAGGAACAGAGTCCCGAAGAGGCCCAGAGCCACATCTGTGGTCACACAGTGAAGAAGGCTGAGGCTCGAGGGGGGAGCCAGACCATGCATTTGCCCCTCCTCCTGGGACAGTTCTAGTGTTTTGACCCTCCCTGGGGACCGCAGGGACAGCAGGCTGAGGCCCTGGTACAGATGTTCTTCAGGGGCCCCCGGCCAGGGAATATTCTCAGGTTGTTTCAGAAGTTCCAAGTTTACTCAGCGCTCCTGTTTGAATCGTCATTGAAAAGTCCCTTCATCCTGGGCCAGAGTGGTGGGGGAGGAGGGGGTGACACCTGCAAGCTGCAGGCTGTGGGTGGGGCCTCTCCCAGCTCCCCCCACTTCGTGTTTTGGGGGCCCTGGACCGGCAGTTGAAGAAAAGGCTGCCAGACTGAGAATACCTTCCTCGAGGAAGCTTCTGTTGCATTTTCATGGGACAAAGTCCCTCCAAGTGGCTCCCTTGAAAACCCCTTCCCTCTCTGAGTCTCAGTTTTCTCATTTGCAAATGCTGAAGCACCACCAGCACCATGTGGTACTGTAGCAGGTGGCACACGCCTGCAATGCCAGCCCTCAGGAGGCTGCGGCGGGAGAGTCACAATTTTGAACCAGACTAGGTTGCATGGAGAAAGAACCTTCCCTTGTTAGTCAGCGGCAACAAGGCGGACACGTAGTATTTAAAGAAAACCAGCTGCTGTCCCTGGCTAACCATCCATGAGTCCTGCAGGCCTCCCCCTCTTGAGGGCACTGACTGGCTACTCCCCCTGCGCATGCACAGAGCCTGGCTTGGGGAAAAAGCACACCCCTAGCACACATGCCTAGCTGGTGCTGCTTGGCCCTGGTACAGTAAGGAAATCACTCCCCCGGAACATGTAGCGCACCTGCCTCTCTTCCATCTTTCCACACTGTTCTCCTTACTGGCAGCCTCCGCCTTCCAGTGCCGGAAGCCTCTCATGGTGCCAAAGAAGGCTGAAGTGGCCTCTAGAGGTGGGAACGTTTGAAGCCTTGGGTGAGGGCCCAATCTCCCCTACCTGTCAGGCAGGGATTCTCTCGTTCTCTCTGTGAGGTCCAGTGAGGACTAGACAGCATCTCTAGGGCAGGGCTACTGCAGAGAACACCCCACTGTGGGGATCACATAACCAGGTGCCCTCTGAGGAACGGACCTTAAGTAGTGATCCAGTTCGTGAGTCTTCCCACGGGGTGGGATCCTGTCATACAGGCTGGGTTCCAATTTCTGTTCTGACTCTCCACATCATTCTTAACCCAAGGACAGGTGTGTCCCCCAGGAGCCTAGCATTGCCATCTATGCACTGGGCTGCATGGACTCTGAGGCTTCTGGGAGCTCTCCAAGTGCCTACAGTTCTGTGGATAGGGCTGTGCTAGCCTTTCTGTACTCTCCACAGGTCAGAGTACCTGGGTTTAGGAGCCCCTGAAGTCACAGTCTTGACATCTGATGTCCTGGAGTTCTCATAAACCGCCTCACAGAGATAGAGCCACCTTGCTCCCCATTTTACAGATGGGGAAAACAAGGACCCAGGAGGCTGGAAGAAGCAGAGAGACTTGCCCAGGTTCTCCAAAAGGCGACCATGTGCTCTAACACCCAGGCTGCCTCAGAGAGCACAGACATTCTCTTAGGAGCTGCGTGTGACACTCTAATGTCTCTGGGACCTGCTGGGGTCTCTTTGGCAAGTCCAAAGTACAGACATTAACTCCTATGGCTTCTCCACCCAACCCCTCTGCCGTCTCCTTTTCCATCCTTCCAGGCTAGGCCTCCAACAACCTCCGGACCCCCCTCTCCTCCCCATGTAAGAAGTGTTGCCTCTTACCATCTGACACATGCCCTGGATTTGGATGGCAACACCTGGTTGAACTGCCCACCTTGCCATATCCTGGCGAGTCCCATGAGGAAAGTCATACTTCCCCTGTGGAGCCAGGTTTCCTTATCTGTGAACTAGGCACCCCACCTGCCTGGAAGGATTAGATGGAGTTTAAGTAATAAAGCACAGTGCTTGGTCATCTCTGATGCCCTCCACGGGCCCCCGGAAGCTTCCCAGTGCCCCTGCCTACTCCCCAGAGCTGCCTGGCAGACTGTCTACAATTCAGATCTCACTGTCCTCTCCCTATCACTTCTTGCAGGCAGTTAGTTTGCTCAGGCAAGGGAATCATACCAGCCATGCCCCTGCTTCCACAGCCCTCCATCATCCTGCAAGTACACACTCCGGCCCCCAGACATTCTAAGCCAACTGAACAAGGGACCACAGCCTTGGCTCTGCTCAGTCTAACTGCATTGCCTTCCGTGCCTCTGTGTCCCCAGCTGTGACACAGGCACAGGACGGCTCAGAGTCCCAGCACGGTGCTGCTACGTAAAAGGCAGAGAAAGACCACGGGGCTCAGAGAGAGAGCCAGGGCTAGAGTCTACTTACCTGCTTCTTCAAAGTCCTTCTCAGAAAGCCATTCCTCAGGCTGGGGCAGTCGGGTGGCCTCCTGGGTCTGGGACTCACAGTGGAACTCAGAGTGTGATGGTGGGAGGTGTGGGTTTAAGAAGGTAGGCAGGGGGCCAGTCGGGTGCAAGTCCAGAATCTAAGGGAGTCACCACTGAGACAGTCCTGGGGCTGAGGGCCACCCAGGCAGTTAGGCAGGGCTTACATAGAGAGAGTCAGCAGAGCTGGGGCAGCCAGACAGAGCCGGGGCATGGCTGGGGCTGGGGCTGGGGTGGGGCTGGGGCCAGTTGGCCGTCCCAGGGATGGACAGACCTGTGGTCAGATAGGCAAGCGACTGTCAGGCACACTACAGAAGTGGGCAGACAGCTGCAGTCGCCTGAAGCACAGGGCCACCAGCAGAGGCTGTGGTGTCTGTCTGAGGCCAGGCAAGGGGTGGGGATCAAGAGGATGTGGTAAGCAGTGCCCGCCCAGCCCAGTCAAGTCCTCCAGAAGGGGCGAGAAAAACTAAGACGCCTGCAGGCAGGCGCCCACGGCTTCCCAAAGGTTACTCTTTAGCAAGACATTTGGGGCCTAGGGGGTGACATCTTACGGACAGATGACGCCATCCTACAGGCCTCACAGTCATGTTCCATGAGGCAGGCAGTGAAGTGGGGCTTGCCACTTCTCACGGATGTAGAAATTGACCGCAGGTGTGAGAAGGTAATCCATCCCACCTGAAGCCCTTGGCGTCCACATTGAACTCCTCAGCTCAGACGGGAGAGATGGAGGGCGGACACCCACTCTATGACCTCTCTCCTGCAGGTGGATAAGTGGTCTGTTTTTTCTGTCCCTTGCCTACCCCAGGGTTCTGACCTCAGCATGACCCAGACTTTCTACACTGCCCCCTTGCCTCAGTTCTGTGGAAAGGAGGACTCTCCCTGCTGCCCTGGAAGAGAAAGACCTGAGGCACCTCCTGAGAGCCTTGCTGTGCTCATTTGTCAAGTGTGGACACCTAGCCAGGAGGGCAGGGCAGTCATACACTTAGGAATTCAAGAAAGAAATTCTTTTTCTTTCTTGTCTTTAACTTCCTTTTCTTTTCTTTCTTTCCTTCTTTCTTTCTTTTTTCTAGGAAAAAAGACTTTATTATTGTTGAAAATTCAGTGTAGTGGGGTTTCCATGTTTTTCTGACCCTGCTGAGGTACCTACCATTCCTGCCTCAGCCTCCTCCCTTATCAGTCCAAGGGTGTCTCCCGTCACTTTACAGCAGCCTTTAGGATCCTCTAAGTCTTGCCTCTGAATCCTCTCGTCTCTTCAGAGCTGACAAGCTGGGTTATAAGATGACATCCGCCCTGGGCAGATTGACACTCTGGTCCTTACTCAGTCCCCACACCTGCACCCATAGGAGGCCAGTGGTTAGTCAGCCTTTGAAGGGAAATGACTTGGGCCACACTCAACTGATAAAAGGGTGTTGATCTGAACCCCGTGCCCTGCCTGGGGTCACTCTCGAGGCAGCTCCCAAGTTCTCACCCAGCCGCAGCACCTATCCCCTCAAGATACTCACACAGGCGTGGGACGCAAGGTTTGTCTGTTTCAAAACCATTTAAGCATAACATGCACAATAAGCACATAACTCATCCATGTTCAGCAAGGAGAGGGCCCGTCCCATGAATTCCTTCAACAATCAAATCCCTCACTTTGCGCTTCTGGAGATGGCATGTCTTCAGACCCTTTCCTGTCCTGAGCCCCCTAGTCTCCAGCAGGGGCTCTACATTTCCCAGCCAGGAACCCAAAGGAAAGAATTTCCCTTTCTGGTCCTTAGGGCCCTCTGCCCTGGGAGAGAGAGCACGAGCTGAGCGGGATCCACAGACGTTCTTGGCAATCAGTAAAGCATGGGGACACTGAGCTCACCCATCCCTGGAATACAATGAATCTGGCATGTGGATAGCAGCCCTCTCTGACAGGTGGAGTAGAAAGAAATTCTTCAGACTGTTTTCTTGTCTTGAAGCAAGAGAGAAGTCCAGGAGAAGAGGGGTGATGAATAGACATTTGGAATCCAGAAGACTGATGTCAGGCAGCACCTACCCAGCAGCCCCATAGAGAGAGCCAAACAGAGCCACCACCTCCTCATAGACCATGGGAGGTAGTCAGTCCTGCTCCCATTTTACAGATGAAGAGACTGCAGCTCAGGAGTGGTTTTTTGTTTTGTATTTTACTCTTTACTCTTTGGAGACCCGCTACCCAGCTCCCAAATAATCACATGGAGATTTATTCTTACTTATGAATGCCTGGCCTTAGTTTGGCTTGTTTCTTGCCAGCTTTTCTTAACTTAAATTATCCCATCTACGTTTTGCCTCTGGGCTTTTACCTTTCTCTAGTCTCTATACCTCTCTTTACTTCTTACTCCACAGCTTGCTGTGTAGCTGGGTGGCTGGCCCATGATGTCCTCTTTCCTTCTCCTGGTTATTCTCTCTGCCTGCCAGCCCCTCCTATCCTTTCTCCTGCCTAGCTATTGGCCATTCAGCTCTTTATTAGACCAATCAGGTGTTTTAGACAGGCAAAGTAACACAGCTTCACAGAGTTAAACAAATGCAACATAAAAGAACGCAGCACATCTTTGCATCATTAAACAAATATTCCACAGCATAAAAGAATGTAACACATCTTTAATATTCCACAACACAGGAGAGGAAGCCAGCCTCCAGCCATTGAGGCACTGGAGCGGGTATTGGAACCTAGCTCATCTGAACCTAAAAGGAGTGCAGCCAGACAGGGGTTTGCAGGAGGGGCTTTGAGCTGTCTGCCTGGCCCCGATTGGCTCAGATGCACACACCAACCCCTTCACACTGACCAGTGTTTGCAAAAGGATGGGCAGCAGCCCACATGACTGACAGGTTAAGAGAAAGCATTCCTCTTTCTGTGTCTGTCTTGCTCTTTCCTTTCTATAGCTGTGCTCAAGGAACTTCCTACAGGTCCCCCACGGTTGGTGTCGGCTCCAGGCTTCCCTGAGACCTGGACCTCTTGTCTGGGGTGAGAAGTCTCTGGGGGAGCTAGCTTTTCTTTCTCCCTTTTCTGGTTTTCTTTCTTTTTCCCCCTCTCTTTGTCTTCACAGTGGACCTTCCCAGGTCTCAGCCTGGAGTCTGAGAGCACTCCAAGGCTGGATGGCAGGGGAGTTACTGTCTGCAGAGTTCCTGGTGTCGGGGAGTAAACTGTGCAGTCTCCCGTTGTCAGGGACACCCTTCCCACCCCCACAAAGAGGGCTAAATACTGAAGATGGCCTTGCCATGCGGATTTTCGCTTTCCCTGTGTTACAGGTGAGTCAAGGAACCCGGGGATTGGCAGAGCTACGATTTGAACTCCACGGCCACCCTCCATCCAACCCACTGAACTGCTTCTGAGTGTGGGCAGGAGGTGGCTCAGCACTCCACCCCCTCTCCACCCCCTGCCAACTCAGCCAGCCCACTCTTCCTTCCCTCCATCCTTTCTTATCAAGCGGGCTCTTGGGGATGTCCTGAGGAAATGCCACAGAAAGGTGCACAAATAACAGCCCTTGGGGAGCCAGACAGACTGAGAGCGTGAGGGCGTGATGCAAGGCAGGAGGTACAGGTGCAGAGGCTCTAGGATGGGAAAGAACATAGAGAGGAGGATCACAGGGCCACAGAGGACACTCATCTCTAGGGTCCTTGCAGGTGGAGCTGGGAAGGCAGACTTGGTTCCGATGGAAATGAGAATTCCTGTAGAGTTTGCAGAGGAGCAACTCGATCCAATTCACATCCATGAAAGAGTGGCCCAGTGTGGTGATCTCAGCGCTCAGGACACTGACACAGGAGGACAACAGGTTTGAGACCAGCCTAGCTACATGCTAAGATACTGACTCAAGGCAGGGGGTGGGGCAGAGCTCCAGGCATGACCTGGGTGGGTGGGGGATACAGTCAAGGCTACTTAGTCCCCTGGTGCTTAAGTGAATGGTCGAGGGCTGATCATGTCCAGTGGGTGAATGAGCATTGAGCTCTGAAGTAGAACTGTGCTCAGGGGAGGGTCCCTCTGGCTGTGTGAAAGTCATCAAAGTGTAGCTGTTAGCCCTGGAGAGATCTCTAGGCTCTCACACACCTCCCTGGCATTCCAACTAGCAGAGCTGGCCAAGGGGAGAAAAGGGGTCATGCTGCTCTTCTGCCCAGGGGTCTTCTGAGAAGAAATAACAGGATAAGCCCTCTCTAACCCACTTCCTCTTTTTATTTTTTTTTAAATCACTTCTTTGAGAAGAAATTTGCTTAACATATATTTTGGGCACTATAAGTGTACAATTCAATGTGTGTGTGTGTGTTTTTTTTTTAAGTCAGCTTGGTGAATTAGACACCCATGACTGCGGCTAAGTTGGTGGAACATTCCATCACCTAAATAGAGCGCTTGTGTGTGGTGTCAGCCTCATCTGCACTCCCAGGTGCACCTGACATGCTGGCCTGTGTCTCCTGCTTTACTTCTTTCCTGGAAATGTCACATAAGTTGACAATAATATATCTTTTGTGTATAGCCCCTTGCACTCAGAATAGAGTCTGACTCGGCTGTGTTGTAGTATAAATGGCACTGCATTCATTTTCCTTGTTGAGTGATATCCCATGGCATGGAAGGTAGTACCGTACCAGTGTGCTTTCATACACTGATGAGCCTTTGGATGGATGGTGGCTTTCTTTTTTTGATTTTGGATGATACCATCCTTTGTGTAAACAAGAATCCTCAGGCCTCCTGTGGTATACCTGGGGTTAAACTGCTGGGCTATATAACAATTCTATGTTTACCTTTCCACAGTGGCTGCATTGTATTACTTACCCGTCAGCAAGCTAGGAGGGCCCACTCTCTCTATACTGGCTGATCCTGTTTTTTGTTGTTTTTTTTAAATCCCTCTCTTTCCTTCTCTTCATATGTATGTGTCATGTGTGTATGGATGTGTGAAGGCCTGAAGTGGTGTCCAAACTCTTCCTCAATCACTCCACCTTATTCATCAAAGCAGGGTCTCAGTCAAACCCATGGCTTGCCTCTGTGGCTAGGCGGATCCACCAGCTTGCTCTGGGATCCTCTGTCGCCCACATCTAAGGCTGGAATTACAGATGGGCCCCCATGCCCACCGGCCATTTACATAAGTTCTAGGGAGCTGAACCCCAGTCCCCTTGCTTGCATAGGAAGTACTTTAATGGCTGAGCCATTTCCCCAGACCCTGGTCCTGAGGTTTTGAACGTCAGCACTCCTAAGTGGGTGAGGCGATCTCGCACCCTGGGCTGGCTTTGCTTCTGCCTAATGACTAAAGATGTCTGACATCTTTCCATGAGCTTGGTTGTTATTTGCATATTTTTCTCTTTGTATTTATGTGTGTATGTGTGTGTGCCTGTGAGCTTGTGCCCATGTGTGTGGGTGCCCTTGAAAGCCAAA